TTTGTGAGTATAATACTATTTTATAATTAAAACTTTATAGTAATCTACTATTAAATGAAATACCTCTAATTATTTATGTAAATTACATTATTAGGCGGTGAGTATAAAACCAATTTATAAAACAAACCTTTATAATAATCTATTATCAAATGAAACATCTCTAACTATTTATATTTAAATTAAATTATTAGTCTGTGAGTATAAAACTACTTTATAAACTAAAACTTTATAATAATCTATTATTAAATGAAACATTAATTATTTGTATGTGAATATGTGAATTAAATTACTAGACGGTAAGTATAAGACTATTTATAAATCAAAAACTTTATAATAATCTATTATCAAATGAAACATCTCTAACTATTCATATTTAACTTAAATTATTAGTTCGTGAGTATAAAACTACTTTATACAGTTATAAACTAAAACTTTATAATAATCTATTATTAAATGAAACATTAATTATTTGTATGCGAATATGTGAATTAAATTATTAGCGGTAAGTATAAGACTATTTATAAATCAAAAACTTTATAATAATTTATTATTACAGTATTAAATGAAACATTAATTATTTGTATGTGAATATGTGAATTAAATTATTAGCCGGTAAATATAAGACTATTTATAAATCAAAAACTTTATAATAATCTATCATTAAATAAAACATCTCTAATTATTTATAAGTAATCCAATTATTAGCCGGTGAGTATGACTATTTATAAATCAAAACTTCATAATAATCTATTATTACTGTATTAAATAAAAATATCATTAATTAATTAATTATTTATATATAAATTAAATTATTATGCTGTGAGTATTAAACTATTTTAAATTAAAAACTTATAATCTTCTATGAAAAAAAATTTCTAATTATTTATATATTTTTTGGACTATAGTACAAATATTTATTTAGCCAATACGAAATACTAAAATTTATGATTAGCAATAACAAGAATTGTTTATATAGTTATTATATGTGATTTTTATATTATATCCAATTGTTTATATAAATTATATTTTTGGATCAAAGTATAAATTACATATTAGGCTGCAAAAAATTGTATAATTAGTTTTTCATATCATGAATTAACGGCCGCACGACTTTGTTTAAGTAAAAAACTCTTTACACGCATATTAAGATTTATGATATGAATTTTAATGAAGTACAAACCCATTGTTATTTAAGCTAGACTGATTCAGAATTAGTGATGAACCATACCATAACGGATAAATAGTAAGTACGGTTGCGGTCACGGCAAAATGTCGTATGAATTCCAAATGCAGTATGAATTCAAGACACCAAAACAAAGCTTTTTCTACAATGATATAAGATAAAAAGAATTGTTATAACTCTTCGATCTCAATGGGTACTTAAAAATCTGCAAAAATGAAGTACAGATAATGTATAACTTTATAATCTTAGAAAGGACTACAAAGTTATGCCTTTTTTTTTTTAAAAAAAAAAAAAAAAATTCATTTATTAAGGAGATACAGATTTTTTTTTAAAAAAAAGTATTTAATATACATTAATTGGTTGATCACTGTGTTATCACTCCTTAAGCGGCACAGAGTTGATGCGACTAGATGACTTGTATCAATAATAAATTAGTGCGAGTTACGATATACAAAATTGAGTTACAGCATATATAAAAAGTTATAACATGAATAATTATGTTAGCGTATACACAGTTATAGCATGCGTAATTTAAAGCAAGTTATAACTATTTATGATACAACCATCCCTTTTCAAGTTCGCATATATAACTATTCGGAATAGAGATCAAATGGGCTAGATGTTGAGAAAAGGGTCCAAATCAACAAAAAAAACTTTGCGGAAAATGTTATAAATTCTATAATAAATTATAAAAAAGCAGAAACTTTAAAGTTATACTGCAAAATTTAATTAAGATAACAGTATTCGTTCCTTAAATAAAAAATGTTCCTGAGCTAATTTTGGATTAGTTAAGTTTAAAAAAAGTGTTTGAAAAAATTGTCAATCTGAGCCCTTTTCTCAAATATTCAGTTCATAATTATTTCAATATGCGTGTAAATGATTTATTATTTCTTATCAGTTATAGTTACTTGACTAAAATCATGTTGTTGTCCTTAATCTATATTATTGACTAGACAAAAACACCAGTATTTATCTATACTGAGTGTTTCAAAAATTCCAAAACGCAGTCCTATTCTTTAAATGACATTTTATAATGCGAACACTATGCAAACATGTAATAATTATTGTGTTTTCAACGTAATTGTCATTTAAAAATAGGGACCGTGTTTTGAAATTTTTGGAACACCCAGTATGCTATTTGGATCAACCCAACTACTCTTTCCATCTTACGAGTTAACGTTTATACGTGTAATCTGTGCTGGTTAGTTCACAAGATTTACAATTACTCCTATCACTAATAATTTTTGGTATACAGTAAAAAAAATACAGAACAGAAATCCTCCTTTACATTTTTTATTATATAGTCTATCAACTAGATTTCATTCAATCATATGTTCAAAATCATAAATTCTAAGTTGAAACACTGAGCAAGCAATTTAATGAAAGGTAGCCCTTGGTTAAATCGGTATAAGAAATTAATGAGAAGTTAATAGATTATTTCAATTACTTAAAAAGATCCGAAAAACTTTACCGACAGTCATTTCATGGGCACTTATTTCACAAACAATTGATTCATCGACGATTATTTATTAGATGTAGAGCGTATGAAGAATATTTATGGCCTTCTTAAGCGCCTCGAGAATTAAATTTTAATTAGTGGAAAGTATCTTAACCGATCAAATGTGCTTGTCATTAAGATGAAGAATGTACAGAACATGTGGTTTAGTTATATCAAAGAAAAATTTAATACAGTAGTGTAAAAATGATTAATGATTTAATCCAATAATGTAAAAATGATCAATGCGTTTATTATTTCAGTCAAAAAACTTTTTGCCCCGAATTACCTTTTTTTTGCACTGGTTTATACACGTAATATTAAAGTAAAGAGTTACTGCCCAAACGTTTTTCATACTTTTTATTATGATCTATGTTATTAACACATTAACGTATTGTTATTATGTTTGATTTTAGAAACCATTTATACTCTACTCAAGCGGTGATTGATCAATCGTAGTAATTGGCATCGCTACAATTATTAGAAAATCACAGTAATACTGTAATAATGGTAATACTTCAATAATATCGTTATTCACATCATTGACATTTATCAAAAATATTGAGAATAGCTAAAATTACGTTGTAAACTATTTCGATTACCATGAAATCGCATTTAAAAATTCATACAGAAAAGATAGATAAAATGGTTTCGACTGCAGATAGAAAGGCTGAAGAGAGTGATATTTAACAAAGTACTTAAATCATTAGGATACTTTATACGGGTGGGATGATAATGATTTATATAAAACCTCATAAAAATATGTAATTTATTAATGCGACATTTGTAATAAATATTTCACGGTCCGTGGATTTTGATAATTTCACGGCATTACAGGTTTATGGCAAAGCACAAATTCTTTAAAGTTCGTTCATGTTAAAGTAGTATTAGAGTTATGGGCTAGAGGAGGAGATAGTTTGTGTAGTAAATTGCTCAATGAAAACTTTTGTTAGAGCACCAAAGCGGTTTCTTATGTAGAATTTCGAGAAGTAAGCGATTTTAACAAAACGGACGTTTGTTTGATCGTTGCATCTGATCTGATCTTGAAATCTGATTCACATATAGGGTCATGGAATATATGGGGCCTTTGCAGTAGAAAGGGCCGATACTGGAATATATACAATTTTGAAATAATCGAGTTTGTTTTGTTCGGACTGATCCGGGTTAATCAAACTTTTCGTGATTTGATTGGCTAGTTATATCGGGTAATCTCGTGATGTACGAATCTCCTAAAGAAATTTTTTTAAAATATCTCGATTTTTTATTATGCAAATCAATTTCCATCTATAATTGAAAAATGTAGCACATGTCAAAATTTATTCAAATATGTCAAAAACTCAATTTTCACATTTTGGACAGTATCGGCCTTTTCTACTGCAACGGAGCCATGTACCCACGTGATTTTGATGGTTTAATCGGTTTAATTAAAATTAAGGTTAAAATTAGGGTTAGGTTGGTGTTGATATAAGAAGAGGAATATAGGTAAAATTGCCTTCCCGGCATTTCTTTATTTTTGACTTCTTCGGGCAAACAAAATTTCGCTATTCCGGTTGGTTGATCAACACAAAATAGTCACGTGGGTACATGGCTTTAGACGACCCCCATATTTGGGGGACGTCTCATATTTGGGGGACGTCTAAAGCGGAGGCACATCACGTGAAGTAACTATGATTATGATTGGTCGAGTAAATTGAAAATCATAATTAGTCGAAAATAATATTTCGATTTGTCAGCACTGCATTATCGTTATTACAGATCGAAAAAAAATTTCTTGAACTTTGTAAGACGACGTGTTTTTTCTATTTTTTTTTTCTTATGAATTTTTGAAAAATTTATAAGCGTTTTTTTTTATTGTTTTTTTTCATAGATTCTTTTTATTTTTCCCTCGCAAATCAATATTCGAATATAAAACTTTTAAAATCTTAAGAGTTAACCGGCAACTTTCAAAAAAAAAAGTAGAAATATATATATATATTTTTTTTTTTTTACCTTTTTTTTTTTTTTTTTTTTTTATTATATATATATATTTTTTTTTATACGTAAGATTGTATATAGCGATACTAGAGATAATACATATTTTTTTCTATAAAAAACTTTGCTGGGTTGAGAACGATAGATTTAAGCGTTGGGTTTATAATTTGTAGGTATTATTTTTTAATAGTTTTTTTTTTTTTTTGCTTGTTTTTTTGTTTTATAAGGGTTACAAAAAAATAAAAAATATATTTATTAACTTATTTCTTAGCATTTAGAGATTGGCAAGGAAAAAAAAAAGAATAAAAAAAATGAGAAAAAAAAAATGAACAATTAATTTACTTCTTGGTTATGTCTGTTACGTTTGCTTCTTCGAGCGTTGCTTCTTCAAGTACTACATCTAGTGCACCACCGGTTGCTGTGAGTGTTGCTCTTCCAGACGTTGCTTCTTCAAGTATCATACCTAGCGTGCCTCTGGTTGCTGTGGATATTGTGGATATTGTACCTTCTGTGCCTCCGGTTGCTAGAGATATTGTACTTTCTGTACCTTCTGTGCCTTTGGTTGCTATGGATATTGTACCTTCTGTGCCTCCGGTTGTTGCGGATATTGTACCTTCTGTTTTCACGTCAGTATCAAACCTCATACCGGATGAAAAACGTAGCCTTCTTTTTGATGTAAACGGAGTTTTAGAGGTTCCAATACAGGATTTTAATGATAATTGGTGGCTGTTAGTTTTGAATGTTTGGACATTATGGGATTCACACAAATATGTGAATGGAGATGCTAGAAAGACCTTTGCCTGCCGTTTTATGAAGCATAGAACATCGAGTACTCAGCAAAAGGAAAATATTCCAAACGAACAATGCAGAATAACAAAGACACGGCCATCTGGCCTATGTAATATGAAAATTAAAGTTTTTTGGTTTGTTGCTTCGAATGTGGTCCGAATAGAACGATATAAAAACTCCTCCAACCACACACATACTCTATTAGAAGTCGACAAGATAAAGCGATCAAAGGCCATAAGGAGTTTGGTTGAACAAGAGGCAATAAAAAATTATTTCTCTCCAGCAATCACAGCCGCTGTAAAAGAATTTGCAACAACTACATTAGGTCTTGGCACAAGTGTGCATGAGTTAAAGTGCAAAGAAGTTACGAACATTAAATATAAAGTTCGGGGCCTATGGAAGCGCATCTTATCAGAAATTCAAGTTTAAAATTGGATATATTGGAATCCATATCTTATTTAGTAAAGCAGGGGTATCTGGTTGAGGAATATTCTGTTTTACAATGTTCTACTAGAGGAATCGTGTTTGCACACCCGGGACAACTAAAAAAACTTGAACACCATGGATGGCTGATGCTCATTGATTCGACTCACAAGACCAACCAGTACGATTGGCGTTTGTTCACTCTTTACATCTGTGATACTTACGGCTGTTGGAATGTGGAGGCTCACTTTTTTGTGAGCAGTGAAAATAGTGACACAGTATCGAAAGCATTATTGGTAATTCGTAACAAGTGTAGTCGCTGGTTTCCCTGTTACATGCTTTCAGATCAAAGCAGTATCGAGGCCAAGAGCATAAAGAAGGTTTTTCGTGGTATAACCGCTGGTGAGCAAGAATGCCAAATTATATTTTGTGTTGTTCATGTTATGAGAACATGGATGCAAAAAATATATAAAAAAGAAATCCAGGATGTTATGATTTCCACAATGCACAAACGAACCAAGATTGGCTATGAAAGCCTTGTTCAGAATGCTATCAGTCATTGCTCCATTCCTGCTTTGCAACATTATATTAAAAGGAACTATTTAAAAAACATGAAACAATGGGGTTTGTGGGCGCGTCAACATTCTCCTTTGCTGTTACAAGTTATATCTACGAATCCACTAGAATCCTTTCACAGCAAGATAAAGAAGACAACGTCTTCTCTATATGGCTTAATTAGTAAGTTTAGGGTTAGAGTTAGGATTTTTTTGATTAATTTTGTTCTTTAATCACTTGCTCACTTCTAATTCTTTATATAGATGCTGTTCATGGTATCGTTAATATCAATTGTAAAAAAAAATCCAAATCAGAAAATGCCGCCTTTAACTTTCATATGAAAAAAGTGTTTGCCTACGGTGTTGATAATGACATTCTTGAGGAAATCCATAAGTTTCCCCTTCCATTTCAAACATTACTTGTTAAAGAAGCCTGCGCTATTAATAATAGGCTGGAAAAAGGAAAAGGTACCCCGGGTTTAACCTCTCTCAATTGTTATTGTTTGTTTCGCAATCGCTACTTATTGCCATGTAAGCATATTTTTCATGAGCATATGTATGGCAATAAGCTATTAATTATTGATGTATGGAAGGCATTTCAGGAAATGTTTGAAGAAAGTGGGTTCGAGGTATATGAAAGTCAGGAATTATTTATAGAATATGTACAAACTGAACAACGAAAAGAAGCTGAAAATCGGAGAATTGCTGTGACCGAATTAACCGAGAGAGTGCGTGATAGATATTGGAATATTGAAGAGACAGGTAATGTTGAAAGAGTAAATGCTTATATTGCTATATTAGAGGCCTCCTTAAATCAAATTATTTTACAATTTGATCAATTAAATGTAAAAAATTAAATTGATTAGTATTTGATATTAATAAAAAAAAAATTTAAATATATATAATTTAATACTTTCCTGAATATCATTTTTTTTTTTATTTTAAGAGTACTATTTTCATATGATAATTTGCTATTTTTACCTTATATTTTTATTAATTTAAACTTTTGTTTTATTTATTCCTTTTATTTTAATTTAATTAATATTTATTACTTTTAGGTTTTTCCATTCGCCAATCGAAGTCGTCCTGGTAAGAATATCGAAGGTAAATATTTCATTATTTCTCCTTATCTATCGTTACATTTTTATAACTGATTTAATTATTCTTTGCCAACAAATACTTTTAATTAATATTTATGTATCTATTCACTTATATTTTTATTCTGTTGATTTAGTTAATGATCGTCATATTTAAATATCAGGTTTGTTAGACTTACCGTTTCAATATATTTCTTATATAGGCTCACGATATTTTAGTCGACAAATATAAAGACCTTAATTACAATTGCTTTTCGAACTCATAGCGTTTTCACTACAACTCTATTTTAGCTTTGTTTTTGTCGCAGTAATTTGTTGGTGAGTATAAGGATCATTCATTTGTCTGTGTATAACTTATAATGTTCACTATTACACTTATCTTTCGTTTAGGCTAACTTTACTCTTATTAACTTAGTAGGTTCGTTAATCGGCATATTAATCAAAGTTTATAACATTCACCTTTACTCGTTGTAAGCACTATTATACTATTTTCATTTAGCTTTACTTATTCATATTTATTTAATCAGTTGGTATAAAGATCTTTTTTATTAATTTTGTGTGTAAACAAGTTATTCGAGTTCATAACATTATTATGCACTATATCTCATTTACGATAATTTATTTAGGTTTTGTTAATCGGTATTTAGATAAGCTGTTCAAATTCGTAGCATTTACTATCGTCTGATACCTGTTATTAGCTTTTTATTGTTCACGCTAATTTAATTTGAGTATAATTTAGTTTACAGGTGTAAAGATCTCTTATTAATCGGTTTTGAACAAGATTTTCACATTACGCCATGGTATGTATGGAGGCCTTTTGTATTAATGTATTGTCGCTATTCATATTTAAAATATTTATAACCTCATTGTGTTTAATTTAGTTTATAACGATATCATTTACCATCACACTATCCCTATCGCTTAGTTTTATTTTATTCGTGGGTTTAGTTTCGGGTTAATTAATAGCGGTTCATTTAGAAAAATTGACGGCCCAGTAGTTAATTAATTGGTTCATTAATAAGATGTTCATTACTTTACGTTATGGTTAGTAAAAAAAAATCTTTTATTTAAGTTTATAGTATCTACTGTCTCACTTTACACATGTTAATTTTAGTTGATTGTAAAGATGACATTAACTACCGCACCATACCTGTGATTTAGTTTCATTTTATTTATTTAGTTTGGTAGAAGATTTTTTTATCATTCACTAAATATTATTGGTTTTATTTCATTCAAATTTAATAAAATATTAATATAAAGCTTATTGTTTATCAAAAAAAAAATAATAATAATTTAAATAAATAAAGCCAGACGGGCAAGTTTTTCTATAGTATCATTGTTATGAAGACCAAGAAAATGCAATAAACTTCTTTTTGTTTTAATGCTAAAGGCTCAAATAAAAAAAAAGGTTAATCGAATTTACTTGGATGGTTGTCGAGATATCTTCGTTCAAAGTTCTGCAAAAATTTAAAACACCTACACATAATTACGTTAACATTTATGCAATGACTTTGAACGAAGATATCTCAACAACTATCCAAGCAAATTCGATGAACTTTTTTTTATTTTAATGCTGAAGATTTTTAGAATCAAAATAAAAAAAGGTTCGTCGAATTTACTTGGATGATTGTCGAGATATCTTCGCTCAAAATTCTGTAAAAATTTAAATGCCTATTTATAATTTCGATAAGAGGCACTGTGCAATAACTTTGAACGAAGATATCTCTACAACCATTCAGGCAAATTCGATGAACTTTTTTTTATTTATTTCTAGAAATCTTCAGCATTAAAATAAAAAAAAAGTTCATCGAATTTACTTGAATGATTGTCGAGATATCTTCGCTCAAAGTTCTGTTAAAATTTAAAACGCCTATTCATAATTTCGATAACAGTCACTTGTGCAATAACTTTGAATGAAGATATCTCAACAATAATCCAGGCAAATTCAATGAATATTTTTTTAATTTAATCTGAATATCTTTAGAAGTACAATAAAAAAAAATTATCGAATTTACTTGGAAGGTTGTCGAGATATATTCGTTCAAAGTTATTGCACAAATGCCTGTTGCCGAAATTATGAATAGGCGGCTTAAATTTTTACAGAACTTTAAGCGAAGATATCTCGATAACCATCCAAGTAGATTTGATAAACTTTTTTTTATTTTACTTCTAGAATTCTTCAGCATTAAAATAAAAAAAAGTTTATCGAATTTGCTTGGATGGTTGTCAAAATATCTTCAATTACACAACTATTTGTTATTGTAATTGTATAGGCGTTTTAAATTTTTACAGAACTTTGAACGAAGATATCTCGACAACCATCCAAGTAAATTCGATGAAATTAATTTTATTTTATTTCTAGAGATTTTCACCATTAAAATAAAAAAAAGTTTATAGTATTTTCTTGGATAGTTGATGAAATACTTTTAGTTGAATTTTTTAAAAAAATTTAATTTTTATAAAATTGATGTACATAATTGACCAATCATCGTAACCAATCGCCGATCATGTCACGTGATGTGCCTCCGCTTTAGACGACCTCCTTTTTTGGAAGATCTGCATAAATTAGCCAATCACATTGTAAATTTTTACGAAGTAAAAAAAAAAAGAAAAAAACTAAAAAATACAAGAAACGAGTGTCTAAACTTATCTTAAAGCACTAATTAAAAATGTCGAGGGAGTAATTTTACCTATAATACTTGCCATATCCTTAACCTCGAACTAACCCTAACCTTAATTTTAATTACTGCGTTTTAAACACTTTTCCAAAAAAAGGAAATCGAAAAAGGGTGGTAAAATCGGTCATTTAAAGGTTCGAGAGTTAAAATAAATTATAAATAGCAGGTACATGTGATAGCCTAAGGTATTGGGTCAGGCTGATCAGTTAACCGTACCTGATCTTATCCATTCACCTCTAAAATTAGATTATCTCACAAGAATTAACTAGGCAGAAATAATTTTAGATATCAGAAGTTATAACTTTAAATTAGATTTTCTCACATGGATTAACTAGGCAAATATAATTTAGATATCAGAAGTTATAACTTTAGAGATCTTACTAGAGATGGGCACTATGCTTAATCGTCATATATAATAGTTTATGTAAAAAAAATAACATCCGATGTGATTTTCATATAACAATTAAACACCATGCTGCATAGTGCCCATCTCTAGTTCAACTCTAAAATTAAATTATCTCACATGGATTAACTAGGAAGATACATCAGAAGTTATTACATATATTCACTTTATAAATATGTATTCTTATAATAATAATACTTATAAACCTATTTTCTTTAAATGTATGCTCTAATAAATACACACTTATGATCAGTTATAAGAAGGATATATATGTAGACAAGATTTGGTTAAGATGTATTACAGTATCTTTATTTATTGCAATAGTGTGTAATAAATAAAAAAGATATATTATAAAAATTTTTCTAAAATACTATCATGCACATTTTCGTATGTTTATGTTCTCTATTATTCTATTTTTTATGTGATATCATGCTTATGGATCATTTTGTTATCTTTAGCTACTCAACATATATCTTTCCGACCATATTAAACATATAAAAATACACGTGAATATGTGATATTAATTTATTATTATTACATATTGTAATTTTTTATTAATGTAAAATCCTAGAACAATAATAATGGCAACTACTACAGCTATACTAATGACATTCTTTCGTCCTAATGAAATTGAATCGTTATAATTATTCAGGTTTGTTGAATTCGACTCATATATATTTGATGCATTGAAAGTATCAATCCATGTAAAATTTTGTGTATTAAAGACATATAATTGTTATTTAATGTCAATGGCAATTATGTTGGATGTGGTTGTGATGAAACAACAGCGCCTAAATATAGAGTAAAATTAAATAATTAAATTAGAAAGTTTATCAACAACTAGTATTATCTAAACATAGTAAAAACATTAGTAAACTGTAGTGAACTAAAGCACCTTTTTATTATATGCAGATTGATCCAGAACACTATGCACGATAATTTAAATTCAATTCAAAATACAGTCGACTCCCTCTAAATGCATTTTATTTGGACCAGGCTTTTAGCAACATGCATTAAGAGAACAATTAAGAAAAATACATTTATAGAGATCAAATATATTTGTGGGCCCAGAATTAAAACTAAATTTAAGAGAACATGCACTTAGAGAACATGCACTTAGAGAGAGTTGACTGTATTATGATTGCCAAATGCAACGATCATATACATTCCATATATTGTTGCTGAATGAAACGTAAGTCCTTTTGAAGCATAGTCTGTGTTAGTCTTCCATGTATATGGTGTTGTTCTTGGGTGAAATTATCTCTTATTCCACCTTAAATAACAACAAGTCCATCTTGAGCTATTTAAAATGTAAATATATAATAAATAAAAATAAATAATAATAATAAATATTATTATTAAAGGATTTACTTAAAATAGATGAATGCCTACTACGAGACTCAATAGAATCGCGACGTGACAATTAATATTTAAAGATTAGTAATCACATTAATAATCATTGTATGACTTTAAATTTTAATTGTCACTTCGCGTGATGTCAGTATTATGGCCTGTCGAGGTTTTGGACGTCATGGTTTCGTACTAGACTCATTTAAATCCCACAGGAAGACTTTTGTATGATTGGCTGTTTAAGTCTACATTATTTATACAGTTAAAGTACTTTTTAAAAAAACCAAGCTACGAAGAATAAACAAAAAAGAAGTATATAGAAAGTTTTAATAGGGTTGTAGGGCTCCACTATTAAAAATAATCAAAATCACCTTGTTTTAGAGAAGTTAGCATGGTAATAACCTAATTCTATCTATCTTTAAGAAGTCGCTATTATGTTAACTTCTCTAAAACCAAAAATGATTTTTAATGATGGAGTCCTACAACGCTAATAAAACTTATTATATACTTCTTTTTTGTTTATTTTTCTTAGTTTGGTTTTTTAAAAAGTACTTTAAACTGTATAAATAATGTAAAATTAAATAGACTTAAACAGCCAATCATGCGAAAGTTTCCTTATGGATTTA